CCACCAATGTTAGGATAAAACTAAATATGGCTTTTTTGTAATAGACAAAGAAAGTCAAAGAATAATGGCAAATATAGATTTATGTTTGATCAATTTCATAATGACCAAGAGCAAGGGTGTTGATGCCATCTTCTAGAATAAACCTCTTGTCATCGTCAAAAGGTAGTACTTTCTTATTCATGGTCAAGGTTTGAAGGTGATGGCTTGTAGATTTAATTCCTGTCACATTCTCATAGTAATCTTGCCCAATTGTAAGACAGTTCAAATAATGTTGATTTCTGAGGAGAAGTTTAACAGTGGCATTATCAGCTCCCTTATAGCTTTTTGACCTCTAAAGCTTGCTTGTCTTCTTCATATAACCATTTTAGAGGAATGCAAGAGTATAACTTTGGTCTTAAACCACAATATGCATACATAATATGACCATCTAATTCGTCTTTGAACTTTCCAGTGACTTTTTTATTTTTATTAGAGTATAAGAAATGGTCTTTACTATATCCAGAGGTATCAAAATAGTGTAAGTCACATTCTATTTCCTTGTAAAAGTCCTGTGTAACTATAGAATACATTACAGAATCTGTATCTGTCATAAGAAATCTTTTGTTCTTAAATTTTGACATATAATTATAGTGGAAATCATACATTATTACTTTACTTATATCCAAAATGGTCATGCCTAAATATATAGCGTTAATAAACTTTACAACTAATTTATTTAAATGTATAGCATGTAAATTGTTATCAAACTTTTTGCTACAATCAAACCTTGGATTATTGACATATTTTGTTAATAGTGACTCATCCTTGAGATATATATCACGAAACCTTCGTTGATTCATAATTGTTCGACCAAAGAGACTATTATTTAACAATTTGTAAAAGTCTTTTTCGAAATCATTTTTAGCCCATTTTCATTTTTCAATATTAAAATTAATATAGGGCGCAAGCCATTTTGATTGTCTAAATTTTAAAATTCTGTGGTATTTTGTAGCAACCAAACCCAATTCCTCATATTTTTGTAATGCTTTATAATGTAAAATATATTTAGTTTTGTCATTTAAATTAGGTATTAATTTGCCATTCATTTTCTCAGGTGCTAATGGGTAGTCATTATTTAAATCATGTAAGCTTTTATCATATTTTAAATAAACTTCTAACATGTATCCAAACTCATCATTTTGATTATTTTTGTATATTTTGAAGTCTATCTCATTAGTCCAACGAAATCCATCCACAGGTAGTGGCTGACACATTGCTGTGGAGTAGAGCGAGTTAAAATCTAAATATATTAAATACACACTCTCTTGATTGGGGTCATAGTGTTCGCCCATAAAATTATACTGACTCCTCCTCTGATTGCACTTTCTATGAACAAATGCATGTCAATATCTTGAAATAATTGTAATTTTATACCGGTCATTCTAAGACAGGCCTCCCATGTTAGTGCAGGGATTGAATACATATGTAGGTTGTCAAGTTTGTAATCTTTTAAACACAGGTCTCTAAATGTCTCAAAGACATCAGCTAGTAGCCATACATCTGTTTTAAGATATAAATCATGATATTCTTGTAAATTATTTATATTAAAATGGGTCCAGACATTTTTAGCATGTTCATATTCATTCGGAGAGATATGTTCTCTCCGAATGAAGCACCTCCAAAAGAAGCATTTTACAGTACTCTAACTAAAGTTAAGAGTACTGTAAAATGCTTCTTTTGGGGGTAGAGACTCTGCAAAATTATCTGGTCCCGTCATATATTCATAGGGAAATACACCTTTGTGTTGTAGTAATGGATTGTCTATGAACCTAAATGTATTTAAATACGAAGCTAATTTGTATATTCGAAGGGACAGAAAGTTGTAGGAATCTAAAAATACAAAATCATCATCAGAAAATGAAATGTACTTTTCCATATCTTTGGCTATGCAATTTAATTTACGTTTAAACTTTGCAAACTTTCCCATGTGTTGCATTATTATGTGACCATCATAATTTTTTTAAGTTATGGAAGAATACTGGTATTTTTTTTGTTGCTTTATGATTTAAATTACAATTATTGTGAGCAGCTCCACGGTAGTGGCCTTTTTATGACAATGATCACGTACCCTATCAAAATATAGGGGCTTTTCACAAATGTGACAGCGTGTTGAGTTTTGGAAAGATACCTCTTGCTCAGGAGTCATTACTAGGGGAATGTATATTGCCATTTGACTTTTAATATAATCATAAGTCTGAAATAATCTTTCAAAAAACACATCCATAACATTTGTGCCACTGTACAACTCTTCAGAAATAATTTTTGAATCTTTTACTACGACAAATGCAAATCCGGATGGAATATCGGTTTGAGTTTATGAAGCACTCAAAATCAGCGTAAATTACATATGGGGCTTTAATTTGATATTTAAAATTTTTAAATTGTAATATATCTTGTTTAGACATTTCAACTCTTTGCTCATCAAAGTTCTTACAATATGTTATATGACGTTCTAATTTATTGTTGGTGTAAAAATGTTGCAAACACAACTTGCACAAATGCTTCTTATGTTCATATTTTGTAGATTGGAACATTAACTTATTAAAATCACGAATTAAACAGTAATGTGATTTACGACATTCTTGTAATAATAATAAATCTACATGAGTATTACTATTTAGTTTGGTTGTTTTTAATTTCACATTTATGGTCTTCAACTTCAAATACATTAACACTTATATTATTTTGTTTTTCGAATTTATCTATATCAGATATTTTTACGGGATATTTTATGTTTTTCATATTTAACTGTGTTTCATAGGGTACATAATTAGATACTCTATTAGCATTTTCATTAATACAATTCCTTGGATGTAAAGCTGCTAAAATTGACCAAAGGAAGCATTTATTGTCTGATTTTAGCGAATTTCCCATATAGGGAATGAGCTATTACCGTAGTACTCATGGTAAGACCTGGATCCGGGACCGATTTTTTTTTCGTTTTGAGGTCTCTAGAGGCCAAAAACACCATCCGTTCAAATTCATATATATATATATATATTTATATATATATTTAAATATATATATACATATATTTATATATATATATATATATATTTATATATATATGTGTCCGTTAGCGCGATAACTCGACTAAAAATGATCCGATTTTGATGAAATTTGGTACAAACGTGTAAACCTACGTTTATTCAAACGAGTTCGCGAACCAGCATGATCGGACCATGGGAACGGGGGTTTATGGGGGGTTTTATGGGGTAAAAATGGGTTTTTCCCATTTTTGACCCAAAAAACATCAAATTTTGCAATTTCTTTCTAAACTATTTTGTAGAGCTTAAAAAAAACAAATAATTTAGTATATTGAAGCGTTATAATGCGCCTAAGGTTACGGAGAAAATTCCAAAAAATTGTAAATTTAAAATTCCCATGTTATTCTTATGGAGAATAAGTAAACTGTTGTAGTTTGCTTGTTTATTAACATATTTTGCCCAAATTTGGAAAATGTTTTTATTTCTTACTTACAATTAACATTTTACATAAAAAACACTTTTACCCTCCCTGTTGCAGCAAACCTAAGTATGTGTTAAACTGATTCTATTTAAATAGGGATAAATGTGATATTTTTAAGGAGACATTTTAGTGTAAATCCAATCAGGCAAATGGAAATTCACTTAGTCTGCAGGTTTGCTGCGGCGGGGGTATTTTTATATTTAGAACTGCTTTTGTCAATTTAATACTTTCTGGTGTGGGGATATATGACTTTGGAGTTAGGGGCTTATACTTGTAAACATGCAGCTGCCAATATTTAGTATGGTCATATAACCTTCCACTACCTTGGGCTTGATATTTATGAATCGAAGTGTCAATCTTTAAAAGTGCATTTTTAATTTGAGGCTTTAAATCTCTCTTCTCAATAGTTAAGGTAGTAAGACTTCTAAAATCTGCTATACATTGTTTTTCATTAACTAATTTTTAATTTTTATCCATTGAATATTTTATAAATTTAATTCTCCTAACTAAAGTCTATTTTATTAGCAGAGGACAAGTCTTAAGAGTATTTTCAAGGTCAGCTCTAATCGACTCACCAACAAATTTTATCATTGTGTATGGACAATTATTGCAAGAATAGATATGTCTTCTAAGATGTCCAACAACATTTTTCTTACAAAAATTACAAGTCTTGTGACTTTGTAAAATATGTGACCTTAGAGCCATGTGGCTATCACAGATTAAATCACAAACCTTGCACAGTTTCACATTCATTTGATGCATTACCTTATAGTGGCGAATCAGGTTGCTTTTGGTGGAGAGCGACACGGAGCAGTATTGACATGTGGTCTTCATTGTTATATATAACTAAAAAAATCTTTGTGCCACCTCTATATATTGACTTTTTGAAATTTTCAAAATTTTAAAATTTTATAAATTACTTTAACAGATCCAACACTCGATCTAGAGCTACCACAGGGACAAGAAGCAAGACCTATGGGAGCGGCATTTCACAGCCCCGCCACTAGAGACAAGAAGCAGACCATAGGTCAGGAGCATGCCCGCGACTGGGAGCACGACCATGGGTCGGGAGCGGGAGCGCGCCCGAGTTCGCGTACAAACCTCGCTTGATTTTGAGAATATACATGTGAATGGATGTGGATTAGAAATAATAATGAAGTTGTATAATGGTATTGAACATTAATATAGGCTTGTATTGGACGAGAGCCGGGTCTTAAAAATAGTGGCCAAAAAAGAGCCATGAGAATAACATGGGGAAAACGTGCCTAAAGTGGGGTAAAACCAGCTTATTGCAAATACTTATTTTATACAACAGATGATAATACCAAAAAGTTTCAATTTCGTGTCATATTCCCGCTTCAAAGCACGGGTACAACAGATGGTACTTTCATAACAGAACATCATATTTTATAAAATTAGAATTTAAACTTTTACATTGTTATGATAGAGCTATATCAAAAGTGTTTGTAACGAAAGAGTTTTCTCATACTCACTTCTGTGTTCAAAGAAGCCGAATGAATCTGAAAATAAAAAGAAAAAAGTCAATAAAATCACAAAACACTACGTCTAACTACTTACCAGTCCCGTCGCCACAAATAGTAACACAATGTTAACAGTTGATGCCGCCTGGCACACCTATTCGTATTAATCTTAAAAATTATAGCTTTGTTGATATCATGACTTTATTGGTCACAAGGATAAAGTGTTGACTAAATTGTACTCGGCCTAAATTGTTCTTTTCACTGTCAAAACAACATATTTTTTTTTGAAAGGATGATAGTGAAAAATAATGTAGTTGTGCATTAAGTCAAGAAGGTGGATAAACAGTGGACAGCAGTAAAGATGCAATGGAAGCTGGAGAAACAGTAGTTGGTTGTTTTACTGATCTCTCCAAAGCCTTCGATTGTGTCGAACCTGCGATTCTATTGGAAAAATTGGCATCAATTTGAATCTCAGGACTTGCGCTGAAGTGGCTCACATCCTATATGAGCTGATTCCAAGTCACTGAGATTAAAAAAAAAACACAAATTCAAAAACTGAAAGAATTTCTTCAACAAAAAACTGATCTCCAATGGCGTCCCCCAGGGATCTGTCCTTGGACCTCTCCTTTTCCTTGTCTACATCAATAACATAACAGATACCTACTGTTCCGCAGGACAGCGTCTACCTCTTTGTGAATGATACGACATTGTTCGTAAGGGGGACTGACGACGCGGCCCTAGAGGCAGAATCTAATCAAAGAGCAAATGATCTGGCTGACTTTTCTTCAAACAACCTCAAATAAAATGCACAAAAAACAGGATACATGTGTATCCAAACTGCAAAAAGACAAAATTATAAAATAATAGGACTCTGAACCTATTAATTGGAGAGGATAAAATCCAAATTTAAAAAACTGCCGACTTTTTGGGAGTGAGATTGGATGATAAATTGGGCTGGGACGCACAAATAAAAAAAACTGGAGGTGTCATTGGCTCGAGGGGTCTTTGTTCTTCGAAGAATAAGGACCATCGGGAACCTGGCTCTCTCTAAACTTGTGTATTTTGGCCTAATAGAACAACACACTTCGTATTCAATCATCCTATGGAGATCTGTGAATAAGAATATTGAGCAAATCTTTGTTTGGCAGAACAAGGCAGTTAGAGCAATCTTTGGTATGCCACCTCGGAACAGCTGCAAAATGTTTTTTAAAGCACTTGGTGTTCTCATAGTCCCTTCACTTTTCATCTTTAAATCAGAGTAGTGGCAATATGATGGTATGACCCCACTTTAGGCGTTTTTCCCATAAGAAGAACATGGTGATCATTTTTTGGCCACCAAATCCAAAAATCCTGATCTTAAAAAAAACCTTATTTCTTACTTATTCCCCATAAATATATTCGACATCAAGCTAAAAAAGCTATTTCTTACATTTATTGACAAATACAGGTGTAAATGTAAAGTAGTGGTGAACTAGCAAAGAGACGCCACTTTAGGCTCGTTTTTCCCATGTTATTCTTATTGGGATTATTTTTGGCCACTTTTTTAAAACCCCGTTCTTTGCCTATACAAGCCTATATAAATGTTCAATACCATTGTAAAACTGTATTACTATCTCATATCCACATCCATTCACATGTATATTCTCAAAATCGAGCGAGGTTTGCACGCGAACTCGGGCGCGCTCCCGGCTCATGGCGTGCTCCCGGTCGCGCTCCCGACTCATGGTCGTGCTCCCGGTCGCGGGTGTGCTTCTTGCTTCTTGCCTCTAGTAGTGGGGCTGTGAAATGGTATCTTTTGTGGAAATCCATGAATTCTGGCTACTTGGGAACCCAAGCCATTTGACATACAATAAATCACCCTTTCTCCTAATTACCTTCTCTACCAAATACATGTCTTTATACTTGGTCTTTAAAAACTCCTCTGTATAGAATCCTCCCCTGATTATATTGCCATTTTCATCTTTCAAAATATAAGTCACAGGATTTGTGTTATTAACTTTTGCTATTGTAAATAGCTCCCCTGTCCAATTCAGGGTATATCCTTTACTAAAAACATGTTTATACTTGGAAATTCTCACGCTACCACCTACCTTATATCTTGGCTTTTTAACTTGCACTACTTTAGAAGTCAACCTCTCATGCACATATTTACTATTCTTACCACTCACTTGGTTAGGTTTCATACCTATAGATCTATGCACCTTATTATTATATTTTCGAATTAACTTTGGAAGTAAATCCAACCATTTATAACTCTTCTGAGCACTAAATTCCCTATATAACAAATTCTTTAAAGTTCTCTGAAACTTCTCCACAATTGCAGCCTTAGTTGTAAAAATGTGTGATAGTGATTAATATTTAATTTTTTTCATTTGTTTGATTAAAAAATTATTTTCCATTGTCGGATTGAACGTGTTTAACCCCCTTGGGTAGAATGGTTTTAATGGCTTCTGTAACTACCAACCAACCCTGTCTTATTCTTTAGTGGAGCAGCATAAACTTTTTTAGAAATTGATTTGCTAAAAGAAAGGATTTTCAAAAGTGACTAACAAGATTTCAAATAAAATACAATTCTTGACAATTTACATTTAGTTTAAGACTAGTTTTACACTTTTGGCTTGGAAATTAGACATCAGAAAATAAATTAATTAAATAAAGAAACTTACATTTTCTACGAGTAGTGTTCGTTTCGGAAGATGCCAATACAGTAACGGTTTATTCAAATCAACCTAGGTTAAGTCGGTGTTGTCAATGCCTTTTGAATCTACTAGTCTTAACCTATAATATATTGTACAAAATGACTATCGATTTTATACATATTTTATATTCCTGTGAAGAATTAGTTTTTACCTAATATTCGGTATAACCTACCTTATATCTTAACTTTATAACTTGCACTACTTTAGAAGTCAACCTCTCATGCACATATTTACTATTCTTACCACTCACTTGGTTAGGTTTCATACCTATAGATCTACTATGCACCTTATTATTATATTTTCGAATTAACTTTGGAAGTAAATCCAACAATTTATAACTCTTCTGAACACTAAATTCCCTATTTAACGAATTCTTTAAAGTTCTCTGAAACCTCTCCACAATTGCAGCCTTAGTTGTAGAAAAAGTGTGATAGTGATTAATATTTAGTTTGCTAAAATATTGATAAACAAATTATTTTCTATTGTCAGATTGTATGTTTCTACTCCCCTTTGGTAGAATGGTTTTAATGGCTTCTGTAACTACCAACCAACCCTGTCTTATTCTTTAGTGGAGCACCATAAACTTTTTTAGAAAATTTATGTATTAAAGTTAAGATATATATAATGCTGGGCTTTTAACCATTTTGCCAAGATATAAAAAAGAGATATTTATGTTTTATAGTTTTCAAGATATAAGTATTTTAAAATAATATTATGTACTTAGAAAATTTTGAGGTGTGAAAAATGTCAAAAGAGTCTTGACTTTGAAAGTCTTAGTAATAACTGTAATTGCGCCCATATAAAATAATGTTAATTTTTTTTGGATTTTTGATATTTTTATGTTGTAATATTGTTTATAATCAATCAATATTTTACAGTCAATATTTTTATGTCGACCTTTTGACAAAAATGGCGTAATATTTGGACTATTCATGTCATAAAATACAACAACTGACTGTGATAAAGTACACACGAATTCACATCACAGTCACGGTGAAATTCAAAATTCATGTGAAATTTGTGAAAACAATGTGACATTTGTGTGATGAAGTACACAAGTACACACAAATTCACATCACATTCACAGTCAGTTGTTGTATTTGATGACATGAATAGTCCAAATATTACAACATTTTTGTCAAAAGGTCGACATAAAAATATTGACTGTTTTTACTTTGGTAAATCTTGCAGCACAGTACACAAACATTTATGTGATAATGTACATTTCCTAATATTATCCAAACAAGACGATTTAAATCTTAAAACATGTGTATAGCAATCATGTAGGTAATGACGTTTCATTTAACCAATTTAGCGATCTCTTCCTCAAAAGTTGGGACAAAACTAAATATGGCTTTTTCATAATAGACATGGAAAGGTTAAAGCTATGGTTCCACAGGATGCGGAATCTCCGCTATGCGGTGTGTAATTTTTTGCAGCGGAAAATTACGCAGCGAAAAATCTAGAGGGGTGGTTCTACAGACTGCGAAAATAACGTTGCGGAGATTCAGTTCTGTCCAAACTAGCGACGAGTATGGATAGAAAGAGGAAAGCCCTTTTGTCTTTGATGCTATATGATGACACTGATGATGTTGTCGATCTTTTATCTTTGTTAGTGTCAAGTCACAGTGATCGAAGTGACATATTTAAGAATCGAGACAGTGAAGGGGCCTATTTTTGCTATTTATTTAACAAAGCTTAAGAGGTTTCAATCACGAGATCCCGTTTAACACTTGATACCCAAACATCTCAGGATAATTGTTCGTCAGGTATACCATTTTCGACAGTATGTTAAATGTATTACAATAATTTATTTTTACAGTTAGTTTGTTGAAAATCGGTGTTGCGGTTATAGGTGTTACTTTATAATCGTTCATCTATAACTCTTGTTACAGCATAAGACATAATGAAACTGCACGGTCACAATATTTGATGGCTCTTCTCTGCTGGCGGAATCCGCACTGCTACTGTTCTCAGACCAGTATGATTTCTCCGCCATGTGGAACCGAAAATTCGGGATGCGGACAAGCACGTCAGTGGAACCGCACACATGGGAACTCCATTAAACTAGTGTCATTTTAATTCCGCAGCGGAAAAAATCGCACCGCACGGCGGAGATTCCGCATCCTATGGAACCATAGCTTAAATAATAATGGCAATTATAGATTTATGTTTGATCAATTTTATAATTACTAAGAGCAAGAGTATTAATATCATCTTCCAGAATAAGCCTCTTTTCATCATCAAAAGATAGTACTTTCTTATTCATAGTTTTTTGACATTTTTGCACACCTAAAATTGTTTAAGTCCATAATACAGTTTTAAAATGCTTGTATCTTG